CTAGATGATGCAAGGCATTGGATATACTTTCTACTTAATCAACTTCTGGGCTCTGTTGGGAGCTCCCTCCATCTTCTTGCTTCCATCATGTGCTGGCCCTGACCCACTCTTGGTCTAGATCGCCAGCCCTCAGCCTATCTTACTGGGCTGGACTTGAACTCACTATGTAACTCAGGCTGGCTTTGAATTTGAGGCGATCTTCCTGCCTCAGCTTCCCAAATTCCGGGATTACAGGTGTAAGGCACCATGCATGGTTTGCTTGGCATTTACAAGCCATGAGTTCTACCCGCCAGTTGCCCCTCCCTCCTTCCCTCCCTCCTTCCCTCTTTGCCCTTGCCCTCCCCCACTGTATCCCTGCCTTCACCCACTGGTCGCCCTGCTTTGCAAGGGGTGACTTTGTGCCAGGCCATACCAGTTGGCATGCATTCATCACCTCTCACCTTGACAAGTGCGGTGGCTTCTGAATTTGGCATCCTGAATCTGCTCTGTGCTCTAAGACTGTAATTTCCCCAAAATCAGCTAACAAGAGTATGCATGGTTAAGCTTTTGTGTTGACCCTCTCCGTCCTTAAGGAGAAAAGGGTCACCCTAAAACACTCTAGCTCTGCTTTCTCTACAGAATCTCAGCTGTTCTCTCCCTCCCTCCCCCTTCCCCCCTGTCTCAGACGTTCCACACATAGCCATCATGAGTGACTTGCTGTCCTCCAAGGTCTACCCACATGTGAAGACCAGTGTCTTTCCTCAGGTCATTCTCTGCCTGGAAAGCCCCTGTCACAGCCTCCAGCTCTCCCACAGCTTCTCTTGTTTGGCTAATGCCAACTATTGCTGCACTACATTCCTACCCCAAGGAAGCCTTCCAGTTCCAGTTGATGTGGCTAATTGACATTCCTTGGTTATTCCAAGACAGTGTGACTGTGGTTCTTATAGAGTATGCTCTGGAGCATTTTAATGCAATTCAGAAATCTAATATATTGTGCTGGCTAGTTTTATGTCATCTTGACACAAGCTAAAGTCATCTGAGAGAAGGGAACCTCAATTAAGAAAATGCCTCTATAACATTGGGCTGTAAGGCATTTTCTTAATTAGTGATGGATAAGGGAGGGCCCAGTCCATTGTGGGTGCTGCCATCTCTGAGCTGGTAGTACTAAATTCTATAAGAAAGCAGACTGAGCAAGTCGTGAGTGACAAACCAGTAAGCAGCACCCCTCCAAGGCCTCTGCATCAGCTCCTGCCTCCAGGTTCCTGCTCTGTTTGAGTTCCTGTCCTGACTTCCTTCAGTGATGACTAGCAATATGGAAGTGTAAGGTAAATAAACCCTTTCCTCCCCAACTTTCTTTTTTGGTCATGATGTTTCATTGCAGCAACAGAAACCCTAACTAAGACATGTGTGTGTGTGTGTGTGTGTGTGTGTGTGTGTGTGTGTGTGTGTGTGTGTGTGTGTGTGTGTGTGTGTGTGTGTGTATCTATATCTCTAAGTTAATTAGCAGGCATTTGTAGCCTCAGTATGATGGTCATGTTTTTAATGATAGGATATGACCCTAAATCTTTTACGTCCTTCCAAGGATTGTATGACATACAGTTTACACATTGTATCACTTTCAAATTGTAAGCGCAGTTACCTCCAATACTAATGCTTGGGTTTCTCTTCAAATTGCACATTTGCGGGGGGAGCTTTTATTTTTCTTCCAGTACCTTAACTGGCCTGTGTCACCTTCAAATAATCTTATCCCTTCAAGAATGTCTTGTCCAAATCCCCAGTACATAACACACTGTCTCACTCGATAGAGGTTTGCTGAACAAATGAAAGGTATGGCTATGAGCTTGGCCTGCCTCCCTAGGACAGATTCTCAAGGTTGAAACCTGATACCCTTGCCTCACTCACAGCTGTACCCTCTCTGAGTGACACTGTACCTGGCGTGCACATCAGATTTCTCTCTGTACATTAATGGGTCCCATATCTGTCTCTCTAGAAAAGCTGAATGTAAGAGGGAAAGTGGTAAGATTATGTTAACCCTGGTGTGTTCACAGCACCCACCATAATTACGCACTAAGAATAGGCTTTGGTGAATGAGGGAAAGTGAGAAGGGGAGGGTGGAAAAGATGGCGTGGGAGACAGTGAGTGAGCCTAATGCTCTCTGGGCATGTGGTGCGAGGCGTCATCTCATGGTTTCTGTTACATTTGTGTATCGCAAACATTGCATCTCTTAAAGCAATCTACCTTTCACACTTATTTTCAATTGTATGTATTGGGTGGGTGGGAGGAAGGTATGTGCCCATGACTGTGTGCACCTGTCTCTACAGAGACATCAGAGCCCCTGGGGCTGGAGTCACAGGCAGTTGTGAGCTGCCCCATGGGGGTGCTGGGAACTGAACTCAGGTCCCCTGGAAGAGCAGGGACTGTCCAACTGCAGAGTCATAGTACCAGCCCCTGAATCCACTTCTTGTATAAACAAATCTGCTTTTAAAACTTTTCCCTTGGGATCTTCCTTTTTTAAACATTGACCTTTGTTTATTATTTTGCGTGGGTCATATGTGTGTGGGCACACATATCCCATGGCACATGTGTAGAGTCAGAGGAAAACGTTGTGGAATCTGTCTTCTCCTTCTGTCTTAACATGGACTGTGTGGATCAAACTTAGGCTGCCTGTCTCTCATAGCCCTTTTAACTACTGAGGCATCTTACCTGCCTGCCCACCCCCACCTTTAAAAATATTTTATTTATACTTTTATTTAAGGTCTATGTGTGTTTGTGGGTGGTATGCACATGTGCCTGGAGGTTCCCCCAGAGGTCAGAAGAGGCTGTCGGATTCCGAGAACTGTAGTCTGATCCTCTGCAGGAGCAGCAAATGCTCTTAACAGCATTTCATTAACATTGACGTGTGTGTGTGTGTGTGTGTGTGTGTGTGTGTGTGTTTCTTGTTTGAAACCGACTCTTAAACAGCCCAGGCTGGCCTCTAACTCACTATGTAACTGACTATAACCTTGATCTCCCAACACTCCTTCCAAGAAATGGGGTTACAGGAATGTGGCATCATATCAGGCTTAACTATATTAATGGAAAACCATTCTTACTTAACTAAACACAGGTTAATTACAAGACATGGTTACAAATTTCTTTTTTCTCCTTAGTCATTCCACCCAGAGCCTTCCATTCTTAATATAAAGGAAACCCTGCCAGCAATAAAGGTGTATGGAAACTGGTCCAAGACACAAGCCGTCTGAGTAAAGGTAAGAGAGTGAGAAAGAACTGAAAAGATTAGACATAACTCAACATTGTCTAATCCCTGGTCCCTAAGCCACCTGAAGTTGGGGGGTAGGAGCTTCCAGAAGGGGGTCCAGTGAAGTCTCCCCTCTGTCCCTTACTCAGCTTCTTGTGTTTTATGCTTGAAACAGTTTTCACCATGATTAGACTCTGGTGAAACAGCAGGACTCTCCCACCTGGCCATCAACGAGAGGGAACACAGACTTGTCATGCAGAGTCTATGACCCCCCCCCAGTAGACAAAGGAATGAGAGTTAATTTGGAGAGCTTTAGCCTGTGAGACTCTTTCAGTTCAAGAAGCTGGCTCATGAATGCATGGATGTTTCTAACCTAAGCAAGAACTAGGAAAGCACTGATCCTATGTAGAAATAGGTGCCCTGTGAAAAGCAGCTCACGATGCACACAGTTCAACCAAAATGTTTTCTCTGGTGGTTTTCAGCCCTTTTACTCAAGCAGGGTCTCAATTGGATAGAAACTCCTAAATAGCCAGTGAAGACTGTGGTTTTTATCGAGGTCAAGCAGAACAAGGGCACAGCATTTTATTTATCGAGTTTGCTTGGCAATTCCATGCACTATATGATTAACTTGGGTGTCTGCCTCCATTTCTTCATTCCTTATGTTCCTTAGAGTAAAAGGAAATAGTGGTTAGTCTGGCATCCTCTACGGAATGACAAACACTGCCTGTCTTGACATAGTTGTGATAACTAATTGTTGACCAGAAAAACAAAATAAAACAAACCTAACCACAGAGTACTTTATGAAACAGAACAACAAACCTTAAAAACATTTATCACATCTATTTATGTATTCATGTATGCACACAGAAGTATGCATTGTGGGGGGTTGTGTACTCTCACACAAGTGTGCACACACATAGGTGCACATATGTGTGCATGCATGCACACAGGCCAAGGAAAATATGTAGGTCAAAGGGCAACTTTTAGGTATTTGTTCTCTCCTTCCACCAGGGGAACTGAACTCAGGTCATCAGGCTTGGCAGCAAGCATCTATACCTGCTGAGTCATTTAGTTAGCCCAGAATAATAACTATAATACAGTTCTAGATGAGGGGAAAAGACCAGTGGAGTTGATCCTACTTTGTCTCCAGGCTTTACTGTAACTCTTCACTCCTTACATGCTGTGTTCTGAAATTTCAAAATCATACATAAAGCCGTAGTAACAGTAACAACATTGGCAGCATTAATCCTCAAAAATGCTCGTCAAGTTGACATAAAGTAAAACTAACTAGCAACGGGAATAAGCTGATAACTGCCTTAGTTACTTTACAGTTAGTTGCTGTGACAAAATACTTGGGAAAAATGTATTAGAGAGAAAGGGTCTATTTGGTTCGTAGTTCCAAGGGAAGACGGTGCTTTACAGTGCGCAGGGCAGAGCAGTGGGAGCGGGAAGCCATGTGGTCACAGTCCGGAAGCAGAGAGAGGACAGGGAGGAGGAGCAGGCTATAAAACCTCAAGGTCCACCCCCCCCCCCCGCCCCCAGTGACATACTCCTCCAGCAAGACCCCACTTCTGAAGGTTCCATAACTTCCCCCAAACAGCGCCACCAGCTGGGGACCAAACATCTGAACATATGGGGGACATTTCTCATCAGTAACTTCCACCACATATTGAGTCCAAAGTAATTCTTTTTTTTTTTTTTTTTTTTTTTTTTTTTTTTTGGTTTTACGAGACAGGGTTTCTCTGTATTGTTTTGGAGGCTGTCGGTCCAGCCGGGCCTCCAACTCACAGAGCTCTGCCTGCCTCTGCCTCCCGAGTGCTGGGATTAAAGGTGTGCGCCACCACCGCCAGGCTGAGTCCAAAGTAATTCTAACTATCGTGTTTGCTTGAATCCCCAGTTAAATGGAATGTGTTGATTTGAGTTGAGGGTTCTTACAAAAAAGAAATGAAAGAAAATGAAACCCATTAGCATAGTGTCCAGGGTTCAGTGCAGAGGACTTCACAAACGCGGCGTGACGCAGGAAAACAAAGAGGACTGGATTTTCAATTAAAATGCTTCTTTGAGGAGTTGGAGAGATGGCTCATTTGCTGCTCTTGTAGAAGCCCAGGGTCCAGTTCCCAGACTCCAAAAGGCAGTTCACAATTATCAGTAACTCCAGTTGCAGGGGATCTGATGCCCTCTTCTGACCTTCGAGGGCACGGAACACACGTGGAGACATTTATGCCCGCAAAACACCTATACACATAAAGTAAAAATAAATCAATCTTAAAAGTATTTCATCCTTCACACATAGCCCCCAGGTCTGTCTTGCTTTGCCCTCTGCCAGCCTCCATTCCAATCAGGCTAAACCACCACTGAGCTTTCTCAGTATTTGCTTTCATCTTTGTTCTAAATGATACAATAACATTACTAAGTAATCCCAAAGCTGTATGACTCTGAACGCCTCACTCTCTCGTGTCCACTGCCTTCATGCTCTGTCCCCTTATGTCCCCCCCAGTTCCATCGTTAATCTTATTTTAATTTTTTTATTTTTTAAATTTAAATTTAAATTAGACACAAGGTTGCTTCACATGTTAATCCCAGGTCCCTCTACCTTTCCCTCCCCTCCTCCCATGCCTTCCCAAACCCCCTCCCACCCACCCCACCACCCCACCTCCGCCCAATACCCCCTCCTTTCCCCAGGGAGGGTGAGGCCCTCCATGGGGGGGTGTCCATAGTCTGTCATTTCATCCAGGGCAGGGCCTAGACCCTTCCCCAAGAGTCCAGGCTGAGAGTGAATCTCTCATTGTGGGATGGGCACCCAAAGTCCATTTGTACACCAGGGATAAATACTGATCTACTACCCAAGGCCCCATAGATTGCCTAGGCCTTCCCACTGACACCCACATTCAGGGGGTCTTGATCAGTCCCATGCTGGATTCCCAGCCATCAGTCTGGGATTCAAGAGCTACCATTCTTAATCTTATTACCTTGAATTACACAGCTAGAGAAGATGAAGGAATTATTGATGAACATCTTATTGGTTTGTACAAGTAGCATTTGAAGTTTACTTTAAATTTTTTTCTTCTTCTTCCTCCTCTTCCTCCTCCTCTTCTTCCTCTTCTTTTCTTTTGAGGTGAACAACCTGTGCTGACCTTGAACTTCCTATACATTCAACTGGCTTAGACTAGCTTTGACCTCCACCTGTCTCCTGAGAACGTGCCATCACACTGGACTTCCTTTTATTAATCATGCCCTTAGGTTTTCATGGTTTTTGTTTGTTTGTTTGTTTCATGTTACAGCTATCATATAGCCCAGACTGTCAGATGTGGGTCATGATATCTGGCAGTGCTGTGTGGTTTTGCTCATAATTTTTCTCGTTGTCCTTTTCAAGTGTTACTGTCAGGATCAAACTTGTTAAAAGACATTGATTTTTATATATGAAAATAACAGTACAGTAGTTCTTTTCAAGTGTTACTGTCAGGATCAAACTTGTTAAAAGACATTGATTTTTATATATGAAAATAACAGTACAGTAGTTCTTTTCTGGATGACACCCAGTCTTACCTAGATTCACCAGAGGGGCTTGCCCAGCTGCTCTGCCATATGTCCTGTCCTTAAGGAGTGGGCTAGGTCCAGATCAATAAGATCTGTCTCTCTCTCTCTCTCTCTCTCTCTCTCTCTCTCTCTCTCTCTCTCTCTCTCTCTCTCTGTTTTGCCCAAGCTGGCATTGTGACTCTCCTGCCTCAAACTTTGAATGGCAGGATTATGGGTATGAGCCACCATTGTGGAAATTTGTATAATACATAATAGGGCCATACTCCAGGTGGGGTCAGGAGTCTGGGTCCAGAGCTGGTATCATTCCCATGAGACACTTCAGATAATTCTAATGCAAGTTCATATGAGAACCATGTCTCCAAGGTAATACCCTAATGAAGGAGTCAGCAGACCAAAGGAGAAAGGAAAAGTGAGTCCTGCTACTCAGATTGGACAGTGGCCGTGGAAATGATCATGGATAAGGACCAGCTTTCTTCTTGGGTTTGTTCAGGTGAGGAATTCTGGGTATGACAGTACAGAAGCCAACAAAAGACTGGGGATGACACCAGAGAGCAAATTCCAGAAGACTGGAGTGTGGTTTAGGTGAGAGCAGGAGCAATGTCACTCGGTCTAGCAGAGAGACCTGAGGACAAAGCCCTTGCATCCATCTGACTCAGACACTCGGATGAAGTGAACAAGTTCTGTCTGTAAGAAGTGTGGGGAGAAGACAGCAGCTAAGCAGAGACATCATTCGAGGAGAAACTGGCCAGATCGCCATAGAAACTTGTTGAGGTGGTTTTCAAACAACGAAGAGCCTTCAGTTGGAGGCTGCCTTAAGTACAGTTTCATCACAATGGGGTATACAGCCAAACAGAAGTCCTTTCCCTTCTGAACTCAAGGCCCACAATCCAAAGAGAGAGTTTGGGGTACGTCAAATTTGTCAGATTCCCATGGGACACAGATGCAGAAAATGGTTCCAGTCAAAGTCTGTGTCTCTCAGGACACATTTGGCAATAACAAGGCTTACTATGTAGCTCAGACCCATTTCACAGCCAGAGCTGGTCTTGAATTGCTACTGTCTCCTGAGTGCTGGGATTACAGACACATACCACCAGGCCTGACCTTCCTTCTTTCTTAAGGAGGGGGGGGTCTCACTATGTAGCCCAGGCTAGCCTGAAAGTCACAATCCTCCTGCTTCTACCTCCCAAGAGCTGAGATGACAGGCACGAACCACCCACCAGGCCCAGCTTCTGGAGACGTTCCAGATTTTCTCACAATCTTCAGGACTGCTGCTGGTATCTAGTGAGCAATGGCTTGGGACACTGCAGAATGACTTTCAGTGTCCAGAACAGATCCACGAGAACTATCCAGCTTCACACACCTGGAAATCACCATATATGATCATACTGAGGAGCTGAAGCCCGTCTCAGAAAGCTGCATAGTGTATGTATCTAGATTGCATACATATACATAAAGACATACATGCACAACTTGTAACACCTTTCGTTTCTTTCCTGGTTGCTCTAGTAAGCCACTCTGAAGAAAGCAACTTGAAGGAGAAAGGCTCTATTGTGGTTCACAGTTCAAGGTGCAGTCATCATGGTGGGGAGTGGAGGCAGCAGGAGCTTGAAGCAGCCACTCACATCACAGCCTTAGCCAGGAAGCAGAGAGCGAGGAACACAGGCTGCTGCGAAACTCACTTTCTCTGTTTTTACAGCCCAGGATCCCTGCTTCAGGGAACGGTCCTGTGCACAATTAAGGTGGGTCTTCCCCTTTCTCTAACCAAAATAATCCCTCACGGATGTGCCTACAGGCCTATTTTCCAGATGGTTCTGAATTCTTCCAAGTTGGCAGTTAACACTAGTCATCCTACCATGGACCATGAAAATAAAGCGGACCAGGCAGACAAAGAGGAAGGGTGGGGAAGGGAACCAGAAAAGAAAAGGGTGGCTACGAGGAATAAGGAAGAATGTGTTCTCACGCATACAACGTACAGGTACTTGAAATAAAATTTAAAAAGTTGTCCAGCTCCACACGGCAGTAGTGCTGAGGTCTGGAAGTCCACGTCCTGACAGCTCTGTTTCGCTCATGGATGAGATATTCTTCCTGGGGACAGTCTCTTGTACAGGCAACACAGCCAGTGCCTTTGGCCATTCAGACAGAAAGTGACAGAGATGAATTTAAGGGGGTGGGTAAGAATGGTGACTGAGGATAAGTAAAGGAAAATCAAATAAATAAATAGATCAGACGCGCAGGTCCTGTTAACCATCAGGACATTGGTGCCCTAACAGGTGATGGTCCTCTTCAATTCCACACCTCTAGCCCCTTGAGGTGTGAGGCCAGAAGACACATGCAGTTTGGGGACGGGAAATGTATTATCTAACCAGCCAGGTGAACATCAAATACAAATTATACCCGTCCTGAATCGCCGGTGTGTTTCATCAGTTAGCTAGTGAAAGGAAACCTACTCATTATAAAAGAAACCTGTAATGAACTTCACCATGACCTTGAGTGAGGAACTTAGTGTTTTTGCACTTAACCTGTGCCAAGAATGTATTGTGTATTAAACACAAACTCCATCAGCTTCCTGCCTGGGACAGCCTGAGGCTCGCCAGCAGCTGTTCAACGGACAGGAGCTGAAAACCAGTCACCAAAGGTGTAGAGCAGCAGTTCTCAATCCGTGGGCCGTGACCCCTTAGGGGTAGCAGACCAGCTATCCCACATATCAGATATTTACATCACCATTCACACCAATAACACGATTACAGTTATGAAGTAGCAATGAAATAATTTATAGATGGTCGGGGGCCACCACATCATGAGGAACTGTATTAAAGCATCGCAGCTTTAGGAAGGTTGAGAACCCCTTGATCCAGAGGAAATCCAAATCTGAATTTACCTACCTCTGATAATTCTGCCGAATTACCTCTGGCCTAAGGGAGAAAGAAAGAAAGACATTAAAGACTTCTTAGGCTTCAATGAAAACGAATGCACAACAGCCCCAGACTTATGGGACACAAAGGAAGTTGGTGTTAAGAGGGAAGTTCACAGCACTAAGTGCCTACGTGAAGAAATTGGAGAGCCTTAATGGCACACATGAAAGCTCTAGAACAAAAGGAAGCAAACACACCCAGGAGGAGTAGACAGCAGGAAATAATCAAACTCAGGGCTGAAATCAATAAAATAGAAATTAAGGGAACAATGCGACGAATCAATGAAGCAAATAGTTCTTTGTTTTTATTTTTTAAGTATGATTATTTGACTAGGATTTGCCTCCCAGGACATCCCGACACAATCAGCAGCAGCAGCATGTCCCACGATGCTGCTGTGGTTCTAGCCTTTTAAGATTCTGAAAGATGAGTTCGGGCTTGCAAACTGCTTGTATGCAGACAAGATTTTAGAGTCAGAAAGAATTAAAAATGCCATTAGTATATAATTATATGCACGAATAATATATATTAATATTCTATATTTACTAGGTCTGAAATAATTGTGAAGGTTCCAGTTTTTTTTTTCTGGGTTTAAAGAAAGCACCATTTGAAACTTGTGAAGGTTTTCAGCCCCTGGACAACTCTTGAGGGAACAACTCCAACTCTACATAGAGCTGGCTACCCAACTTATGATGGGAATTCCTTTACGAGGCCAACCGGAGGAAAGGGACATGTCAACAATTACTGCAATTACTGCTCGGCCTGTCAGAAAGCAAATGTGACCTGTAGCCAGATTTAATTCCCCATGACATATAACTGTTCCTATTGTCTGTCATCCTGCACACTCTCACAGGCCGTGTGAGCCTGCACATGTAAATACTTCTCTTCACGCACAATTCCTCCGCCCTCGTTTTCTGGGTTATGTTTAATTGACTCATCCACATAGACCTGGCTGTGGCTCTTATCAGATAATTATTTCCTTGAAATGATGAAACAGACTTTTCTTCCAAGCTCCTGATATAGAAGATGTAGCCTGTGGCTCCTCCCCATTATGTCTGGCTCTTACCACTTGCCTGCCTCGATCTCACTACTTATTATTTTATGCTTTAGAGTATTAATTTATTCTGTGTGTGCGTGCAAGTGAGCGTGCGTGCGTGCATGTGTGTGTGTGTGTGTGTGTGTAGAGGGAGGAGGAGAGAGCACATATGACATGGAGAATGTGACATGGAGAGCATGGAGAACAGTGGACAACGGGGAAGACAGAACAACTTTTCGGGAGTCTGTTCTCTTCTTCCTGTTTGTTTTGAGACAGGGTCTCTCTCGTTTCTGCCACCACACCCACGGCTGCCTGTGTAAACACTCGACTGACTCTCCTGCTTGTTGAAGGAGTCCTGTGATTGCAGGTGGGAGCCGCACTTCCTGACTTTTCCATGGGCTCCAGGAACCAAATTCAGGTTGTCAGGCTTTGTACCACTTCCCTGTCCTCACTTACCTTTTGAAGTTAGCCAGTCATCGCCACCCTTTCCGGGAAGTCTTCCCAGAATTGTTGTCAGAGGGACCTGTTCCCTCTCTCTCTGGGATGTCTGGGGACCTGGGTACTGCTCTACTGCTTGCATAAGTGTGTAATGGTGGGGCACATCCACCCTGCCTCCTGTTTTAAACTATGGGAAAACTCAGGAACTCCATTTTTACCTCTTCAGCTGTTACCTAGGGCACAGCCTGCTGAACTCGGGGCATTTAATGCAGATGTCACAAATTGTCCTCAGAATGAATGGTGGGTGGCTAAAGACAAGAGACAGCCAGGCGGTGGTGGCACACGCCTTTAATCCCAGCCCTCTGGAGGCAGAGGCAGGAGGATCTCTGTGAGTTTGAGGCCAGCCTGGTTTACAGAGCGAGTTCCAGGACAGCCTCCAAAACAATACAGAGAAACCCTATCTCGAAAAACCAATAAATAAATGAATAAATAAATCACTGATGCCATAGAATCATTAAAATGAGTTGAAAATAGACTTAACTAAACCTATTTACTGCTATTAGATTTAAGCTAATTTAGCATCATATCATGGAAATTATACATTTTTTATTTTCCTAATATATTATCATAATATTTGCTTACATTTGGGGAGATTAATTAATATTTCAGGTCGTGTAACTGAAAGATAACTCATTACCCATGGTCTTGAGACTGAGAATGTTATACATCCAATTTAACCCATATAAGACATCGGTGGCCCTTATATTGGTCAGTAACTTCTACACTGGGCAACATACAAGGGGCTGCTAACGCTAAACAAGTCTAGTTTAAAATAAATTCATTCATTCATCAAAAAAAAATCTGTGTATTGAGAATCCAGGCACCAAGACAGCCTGTGGAAACTCATACATTAAGGGACTCTAGGGAAGCCAGGAGAGTTGCAAAGCGAGAGCAGAGCCTAATGTGGGATGCGTATGAAACATGATCGCACAGGGATGGAGGTCACGCGCCCCAGAGACCTGCTGCCTGGATCAGGATACACCCGATTAGATCTGCATGGCCTGGGATAGGTTCTTATCTGGCAGAGTGAGGCAGGGTATCTCTGACCTCCTTGCCTGTGTGGAGGGTTACAGTATGAAGTTCCTGTGAAGCATTTACAACAGCATCTGGCACAAGCCAAATGTTCAATAAATGTCAGTGCTTCTGCTATGGCAGCACAGCAGTGGTCACAGCAAACATGTGAGAGCATCCTATTTAGAGGATAGAGGGAGGGCCGGTGAGAACATCTTCTACCTTTTGAATCTGACACATAACATATCCGCTCATGAGTTAGTCACATTAGAACCCTAAAGTGAAACCAAGTTGTCCTGTGTTCTCAAGTTAGCATTCTGATGTATGGTTTCACATATTTTTTTCCTTGCACATGTGGAGGCATCATATTTTCCCCAAACCATTAATATTCATAGACATGACAACCCTTTGGTTTGTCCATTTGTTTTGAAACAGGGTTTTTCTGTGTAGCCCTGGCTGTCCTGGAACACCCTCTATAGACCAGGTCGACCTTGTATAATTATTATTTAGTCAATTGCCTATCAGGGTATTCCCCTTTGTTCTATTTGAAACAATGCTATAATGAATCTCTCTTTCTCTCTCCTTCTCTCCCTCCCCCCCTCTCTCTCACTAATCCATTGTCTCCTATATTTATTCCATGCTACAATTCTAAAGGATAAACACACGGCATTGACTAGACTTAGTCTTACTTCATTTTCTCTTTCACTGGTGTCCTCATTGCTGTGACCATATTCCTGACAAGAAATATTGAGAGCACACCCAGCTGCCTTAGTCACTATCGATTGCTGTGAAGAGACACCGTGAGCAAGGCAACTTATAGAAAAAATGCATTTAATTTGGTGCTTGCTTACAGTTTCAGAGGATTAGTCCATGACCATCATGAAGGGAAGCAGGCAGGCATGGCCTGGAGCGGTACTGAGAGCTTTACATCCTGACCCACAGGCAGCAGGCAGTGAAAGACTAAGTGGGTTTTTGAAACTCTCCAAGAGACACGCCTCTTCCAACAAGGCCACACCTCCTAATCCTTCCCAAACAGTTCCACTAACGGGGTCCAAGGATCCAAAAGCTAAGACTCTATGAGGTTAAAAAAATAAATAAAAAGTCAGGCATTAGTGGCACACACCTTTAATCCCAGCCCTCTGGAGGCAGAGGCAGGTGTATCTCTGTGAGTTCGAGGCCAGCCTGGTCTACAGAGTGAGTTCCAGGACAGGCTCCAAAGCAATACAGAGAAACCCTATCTTGGAAAAAGAAAAAGAGTCTATGGGGGGTCATTCACATCCAAACCACCACATTGACCCACATCCTGAAGGTAGAGTCTACTATGATGGTGAATGAAGGCTTTGGCAGTAGGAGTGTGAGCTGAATTCCCACATGTCATCATACAGTGATACAGAGAGAGGACAGAGGACAGAGAATCCATGGGGCTGGATTCAAGACAGGCCTGAAGGCCCACCATGGAGGGCAGTTCCTGTGATCCACTTCCTCCGTGAGGCTCCACCTCTTAAAGGATCCACAGATTTTCAAAACCACACCACACGCTGGGGGGAAAGTGCTCAAACCCAAGTTCGTATGAGAAACAGTTCACCTTCAAATCAAAGAATCCTACTCCGTGTCCCAATTGGCTCGTGGCCATCCTATGGTACAAAATGCATCCAAACTCTCGAAATAAAATTAACCCATATTTACTAATCTGTATATCACCACGTGGCTGTGACTTGCTGGTAATGTTATGGCATCTTACCCCTTCAGTGGTTAAATGGCATTTCCCTGACTCCGCCTTCTTTCTCTCTGTGTCTTCGTTTGGATTTTATACCTGGCTGTATTCTGCATGGCCATTGGTCAAGTCAGCTTTACTTATCAACCAATAAAAGCAACACGTATTCCCAGTATACAGAAGGACATCCCACATCATACTGTTTTTTTTGAAGTTTCTGCAACCAAAGGAAGGAATGGAAAGGGGTTGCTTAACTAAGGCATGAAGAAAGGTCAATATAGCTGAGGAGACTATCAGGACAAATAAAACTAAGGACTCTTGAAAAGTCACAGGGGAGTCAAACTATTTCATATTTATGTAAAGTTATATATATATATTATACATACGTGTATGCATAAGTACATAATTTCAATGAAATCATATCACTTGGGGTGATAATCCTGCACCCACAAGAGCCATAGACGATCTAACAGAAGTTCTATTACCAAGCATGAGAAACATCCTTTTAAGCTGTTGGCCAGGGGAGTCCAAGAGCCTGCTGCTGTTCCCCCAGAGTTTGAGATATGTTCCTACTGATGAAGACACCACAAACCTCGTACGGGACCTAGAAGCGTTAAGCTGAATCAGATTCAAATTCCCCCTCCCCGAGGCCCAGCTTTCATAATACCAAAAGGTGCTTGCAAACTACCAAAGAAGGGTGGCAGCCAATAGTCCTGCCCCATTGTGATGCCTCTGGACCACAGCAATGATCGGCACAACAAGGTATCTGTAGTGGTGCGACAGTGGCAGTTACATGTTGGTGGTAACCAAGAGCTCTCTAGCTGGACTAAAGTTCCATTCAATAGGAGGGGAGCTGTGCCTGGTACTAACTCCCATAGACATAGGGGGAAAACTGCTGCTGCCACTTTTCTAAGCCTGTACAACTCCTAGTTGCATTCTAAACACTTACCCTTCCAACCACAGAGAAATGTAGCTCTCGCCCCTCATCAATGGACGCTTCCCTTTTCACCAGACAGAGACCATTATCGAGCTGGTCCCTGTGCAGAGAAGAGCTGGCTGTGGGTGGCCAGCACCAACCAATACATCTGCATTATAATCCCTACACCCAAGACTTGAGAAGAGGAAGAAAGGGTAGAAGAGCCAGAGGACAGACACCTCCTTGTGGCCTCCACCCAACACTGCACTCACGTGCTCACACCCACACACAGATACACATCATTTAATATAAAACATGATATGTTTTAAAGTTTCAAGGGCTGGAGAGAGGACTCAGCAGTTAAGAGTGTTAACGACGTTGCCCGAGGACCAAGGTTCCATTCCCAGCACCCACGCACTGGCTCACAGCCCTCTGTGACTCTGGTTCCAAAGGATCTGATGCCCTCTTCTGGCCTCCGAAGATACCAGGCACACACGTACACTACATACATGCGGGCAAGCACTCATACACGTGAAATGTAAATAAATACAAATAAATCTTTAAAAATAAAGTTGGAAATATTTCAAGGAGAGAAATAGAGGAAGAAAGCTGTTTTAATGTACTATGAGCCTTAGAATGTTGTCACAAGGAAGCTAAGGTTCTGAACAAAGAGTAGCTTGTGCTGCTTTTCATGTAAGAAATGGGAAACTAATACACAGAGCACATGATGACAGTTCACTAATAGCACTACACATTTACATTGGGATCTAACGTAATTTCCTTTAATAGGAAGAAATAGAAGATGGAGGTGAATGGAGATATGTGTTTCTAAGATTTTTTTTAATCATGATTTTTATATTGGTTTTTATTTGGATGTAAAATGGCTCCTGCAGGCCTGTGTGTTTAAATACTGTGTCCCTACCCAGTGGCACTGTTATGGGAGGTCATAGACTCCAAGAAGTGGGGGGGCCTAGGGCTGGAGAGATGGCTCAGAGGTTAAGAGTTAAGAGATTAAGAGTTAAGAGGTTAAGACTGCTCTTCCAGAGGTCCTGAGTTCAATTCCCAGCAACCACATGGTGGCTCACAACCATCTATAATGAGATCTGGTGCCCTCTTCTGGTGTGCAGAATGTTGTATTAATAAATAAATCAATCTTTAAAAAAAAAAAGAAGTGGGGCCTAAGTTTGAGGCCAGCCTGGTCTACAGAGTTAGTTCCAGGATAGCCAAGTCTACACAGAGACACCCTGTCTTGAAAAACCAAAAAAAAAAGTAGAGCCTGGCTGGAGGAAGTGGGTTGGTGGGAAGCAGGCCTTGAGGTTGACAGTTAGTGACAGTCTGGCTCCTCCTTCTGTTTTGTTTTTGTTTGCTTGTTTGTTTGTTTTCTTTGACCGGGTCCGGGGAGAAAGCAATGGGTCTCAAGCTTCCAGCACACAGTTGCAAACTACTCCTGCCCACATACCTTCCCCACAGCCAAGGACTGTGCTCCGGATGCGGGAGCCCGGCGACCCTCCTTCTTCGGTTACTTCTTGGCAGGTATTTGGTTGAGGTGACAAGAAAAGGAGCTAACTGTGCTGGCTGTTGTTGTTTTGCCTGTTTCCTAAATTTGATACAAGCTAACGTCATCTGGGAAGAGGAAACCTCAACCGAGAAAATTGCCTCCACCGGACTGACCAGTAGACACGTCTGTGGGGTATTTTCTTGATTAATTATTGGCGTAGGTGGGCTCAGCCCACGTGAGTAGTGCCATCCCTGGGCAGGTGTCCCGGGTTGTATAAAGCAGCTAGCTGAGTAAGCGATGGGTCACAAGCCAGTAAACGACATTCCTCCATGGTCTCTGCTTCAGCTCCTGGCTCCAGGTTTAGGACTTGACTTCCTGGTCTGACTTCCCTCAATGGTGAGCAGTAAACCCCTTTCTCCCTAAGCTGCTCTTGGTCACAGTGTTTACCACATCAATAGAGAGAAACTAGGACACAGGCATAGAAGGTGGGTGGGTCTTGGGCTTTGGGAACTGGTTTGTGGGAAACATGGAAGAGTTTGGAGTGGTGGGCTACGGAAGCCTTACTGGACTGCAAGCAGCGCTTAAGGCCACTGTGGTAAGAGTTTAGAAGACAAGAATTCAGATGGAAACGTAGATAGAAAGGGCCAGACAATGGGGGAGCCAGTTGCTGGGGGGGGGGAGACAGCAGGGGACCAGTCCTGTGAGGTTTCAGAAAGCAACAGGAATATATTGGGAATCGAACCACAGGCCTATCATGTTAAACAATCCGGCTGCATTCTGCCCACGTTCTGAAAAATTGAGTGAGGCTGACTAAAATAGTGGACTAATTCGTTTGATGGGGAAAACTTCTTGTTTCTTTGATTGGTGTGTGTGTGTGTGTGTGTGTGTGTGTGTGTGTGTGTGTGTGTGTGTGTGTGTGTGTGTGTGTGTGTGTGTTGACCACTTGGGACAGATAGCCATATAGGATGCTCATCTCTGGGATGCCAGTAGCTGTTCATCTGGGAGTGGGGTCATGTGCTATTTCCCCCACCAATGTCCTCATGTCAGCTGGTGCTGTCATTTTGGGGGTCTTGATCAGGCAGTCCTATTGTTGAGATGTCATGCCACTTTTAGAAGACGCAGTGTCACAGCAGACTTACTGGCTTTCACTTTATTTTGTTTTGTTTTATTTTTTTCTTTAAATAATATCACTCAAACAGACTACGAGAGACCTAACCACAGACTTTATTAGTTTACAGTGAACCTGACCAAACCCAGTAGGCAAACACAGGTGCACAGCACAGAAAGCTCTGCCAAACACAGGATCGAGTTAATGCTGTGTTTTATATAAACGGCCTTCTTCTCTTCTGTGACGTCAGTCTTTGCAGCACAGACCCCTCCTAGCATCATCCAGAGTCTCTCAGGACTATACCCTCCTCACGGCACAGTTGTCACCCGATGGGGATCCCACTGCTGTCCGCCAATAGGGGCGGTGGAGTGATGGGTGTGGGAGAATCCTCGTAGTTCCGGTTCGTCCTTACGTTACTGGCCAACACAGCAGGCTTGCTGTGGTCTGTCTGGCCTGATCTTCTGTTCCTTTCATAATGGCTGGATTTACATGTTCTTGTTTTACCCAGGAAGGTTGCTGGCTCTTCTCATCCAGCCAACAGTGGCTACAGCTGCTACACATTCACCACGGAGAGAGTGTAGTATATGTTTGACATGCCATAAGTTGTCTGAGCTTCTTGGAGCACAGAGTAAACTAAAAAAAAGAGCATATGAGGCAGGCACCAGAACTATAGAGAGGAAAGTAGGAGTGTGTGCTAAAAGTGTAGACACAATAGATGCAAAAAAAAAAAGAAAAGAAAAAAACAAACAAACAAACTGGTTACGTTTAAGGAAAAGAAGTGCCACGGAGATGAACAGGCTGGGGAGAGCCTGGAAGGAAGACAAACGACTGAGCGGTAAATGAAATACCAGACTCAAGCACTGATGACATCAAGGCCAGTGAGATGCTCAATGGGTAGAGCCGCTTGCTGCCAAACCTGTCCACCTGGGTTCAATCCCTGGGACCTACATGGTGGAGCGAGGAAACTGACTCCCAGAAGTTGTCCTCTGACCTCAACAGAGGCACTGTGGTGTGCCTGTCACACCCTCCAGACACACACAAATAGTTAACTATGACTAAAGCAAATGGATAAATAAAAAGAATTGATTCGATAAGGCGACCATGGGGATGATTCCTGTGATCCCAACATTTGGGGGCAGATGCGGAAGGATCAGGAGTTCAAGGTCATCTTCAGCTACATAGCAGGTTCGAGGGCAGCCTGGGCTGCCAGAGATTCTGCCTTAAAGCAAAAAGGAGCTGGAGAGATGGCTCAGTGGTTATGAGCACTGGCTGCTCTAACGGAGGACTTGAGTTCGAGTCCCAGCACCCAGATGGTGGCTCCTAACCATCCATAACTCCAGTTCCAGGGGATTTGTCGCCCTCCTATGACCTTTGCAGGCAACAGACTCACATGTGGTGTACGCGTGAGCAGGGCATTCATACACATAAAAGAAATTTTAAACATGCACACACAAGGGAATGCCAAAAATTTCAAGATGGGAGGGAGGGAGGGAGGGAGGGAGGGGAGATCCTATGAACTTGATTTGTTTTACAAATTCCCTTGCTCACTTCATGCTCTATTCCCCATCTTTACACTTTGTTTGAGGCAGCAGGGTCCCCTTGCTGTTACAGCTGTGTTGCATATGACATGACCCACAATGCCTCTGGGAATTCTCCTGTCTCACTGCTCACCATCAGAGCACTGGGATTACAGACGTGTGCTGCTATCGCACCCACATTTACCCGGGGATTCTCTCTCAGGTCCTCGTGTCTGCATAGCAAGCCCTTTATTCAGTGAACCGCCTCCCCAGTCTTCACCAAGGAGGTTGCATGCATCAGTTACCTCCACTTGTATGTATAACTTCCCACGTGACAGCACGCTAGCATCTAGCCCGTAGGGGAAGAGGGGACCGGACAAAGAGGAACAGAAATCAATGATACTTAGAATGAAGATGTGTGTGAGAATGTTAACTGGAGTTTCAAAACAAGCAAAACAGATAGAACTCAGGCAAGATTATACAGTGAAAAAAATCACCAATGGTGGAAGAAGCTGAAGCAATCTAATTAAAGTGCTAGTGGAGATGCTCACAGCAAGAGGGTACACATACAATGTGTATACACCGGCAGTTCTGAGGGTCAGACTGAAACGACAAATTTCTTGACGGGGTAAAAAACGTAGTTTAATAACCAAATAACCAAATGCTAAGTGAAGCAGCTACCTGTTCACTGCTGCCCCCTTGTGGGCAGTGGCTGTCTCTACCACAGAGCTGGGGAAGACTGGAAAGTCACTCAAGAAGAGGAGCCGAGGATTCCAAGATCATCTTGGGCAGCATTCTAAGGCTGTATTAAAAAAAAAAAGACAGGGAGGGGCACTGAAGAGATGCCTCAGCAGTTAAGAATATGCGCTGCTATTTCAGAGGACAAGAGTTCTGTTCCAAGCACCCACACCAGGAGGCTCACAACTATCTGTAACTCCAGCTCTTAGGTATCTGACTCCCTCTTGTGGCCTCCACTCGGACCTGCATGTGTATGGTCATCACCACACACAGACACATATGGACACAGACATGCTCGTACACACACACAAATAAAAACAAGCCAAAAATTTTAAAGGACTATATAGATAAAAACTAAATCAAAACGCAATGGAAGGAGAGGTGATTCTGGACCTCAGCAGTCACCTGGGGCTGGAGCAGTGGCAGGGTGAGATGCTACGGAGGAACACCCAGGCGTCAGTGGTTGTTCCGGTCCCGGATTTAAAGCTGGGCTATGGTTTCAAAGGGTGGTTATTACATTATTGCCATAAATTAATAATGACAAAAATAAAGACGCTTATAAACATAGCAAGGATGAGACGGTGCCCGGAAGCCAGGACTGCATTGGCTACGCCCGTCATTAAAGCACACAGCTTTGTTGCACTGAAACTCTTAAATAAGTGTCTACCTGGATTAGGAGATGCTAGCGGTGACCCAAAAGCTGGGCACAGGGGGAGGTGGGCATAGCATGTGTTGCCACCGGTCTGACGCTAATCACTGCTCCAAGAGCAATCATCAACTGCTCTAACCACTCCTCCATTACCAGTGGCTTCACTTCCTTTAGTCATCTGAGAATCTAAGAACTATACACGTCTGCTGATCTTCAGGGAGACGGCTGAGGCTGAAGCAGTCATTCAGAAACAAGGCACAAGAAGACTAAATATATGCGTCCTGTTGAGAAGAACTTGATGCTGATGGGATTTCAAATACAGTTTCATCTTTAGTAATGTAGTATGTGGAACACTGAATGCTAGTGGAGAGGGTGGGCTTTGAACTCAGAAGCTTCAGACTCACAGAGATCCTTTGCCTCTGCCTCCAGAGTGCTGGGAGTAAAGTTACGTGCCCCCATCTCCTGGCTCAAATAGCCATTCTGCCCCTGCTTATCTCACTGACACGAGGCAGATGGCATCATTCTGTAGATGTTGGCCTCCCTTCCATGCCTCTGTGGGAAGGAAAGACAAGTCATTTAAAGGGCTTAACACAACACATGGCACACTCATGAACTTTATAGTCGGCCACCGCTATCACCTTGAGACGTTTAAAGTGGTTCGCTTCCTCAATCTACCAGGTGTGTGTTTGTTTATGTTTCCGATTCCTGGTAAAGTCAACTGCTTGTTATCAATGGCTCACGTATCAAACAAGACAAGCACATGGGTCTCTGGAGATGGGGAATGCCGAGCAATTGCTTCAGTGCTCTTCTTTTTGAACGAGGTGACTTCCAAAGCTCCACCGGGGCTGACATCTGTCATTCTGTGATAATGCTACTGCAGCGAGTAAAGGTCACTGCACAGAGGGACATTTTTAGGGTCTAGGACTTGCTATGTGTCTGCGATGGTTACAGCAGTCACTGTCGGATTGACTCGATTTAGTGTCACCCAAGAGAAATATGTCTGCCCTCCTCTATGAGGGGTTTTCTAAGCTAAACCAAGGATAGAGAGGGCCTGCCTCAAATATGGGCGGGAGGCATAGCCCCGTG